TCCTTGAGACTCATTGGCTGGAAGGAGGCGCTGGATCTGCCCCCTGACCTCTGGGGCTGGAGCCCAGGGTTAGCGAGCGTCCAGGAGGGTGAAAGTCGTGAGGCCACATCCCCTTGGAAGAAGCGAGCGCTGTAACCAGAGGTCCGGGGCACAGGCATGTCTGGGAGAATGCTGCATGGCCGAGGAGGACCAGAGCAAGAATGGAGGGCACGAGGGGGCACCGGGGCCAGGAATGCAGAGCACTTGGCTGTGAGAGCCTGGAATTGGGAGCTGAATGAGACAGGGACACGTTGAGATGCCCTGAGGGAAAAGATGAATCACTTATGGGAGGGACGGAAGGGAGGGCACTGGCCTGCTGGGAGGTAACAGCTCTTCCTGTGGAGCAGGTGCAGGGCCAGTGGGTGCCTGTAAGGAAGGGGTCAGGAACCGACTGGACGGCCGGGAACCAGGGTGCCAGGGTTGCACTTCCTTGGACCCCAGGGCCAGGCACCTGCCTGCCCCTGGGACTGCTGGACCTCTCACACTCCGAGCGCCGAGCTAGACCCACTGGTGCAGAGGCTGGTGCTATCCCTGACGTGACCGGGTTTTGGACACCTGGCCCCCAAGACGCCGGTTTTCATTTTAGAATACAAAGGCCATTTTCTCCGGTGACTCGTCTCCGCTCCCTCTGGTTGGTAATCGGGTTGTCTGCAATATGCCTATTAATTATTGATAACCTTGTTGATTTTTAAACTGTACTTGCCTTTAGCAATGGCAGTTTGTAAAAGCACACGATTACTTTAAATACACACCCAGGAGAGGCTTCGTTATATTGGCCCACTGAGAGAGGAGGCAGTGTACAAACAATATTTTAATATATCACAACGTCTTACAATACATCAGATCAATACTCCAGAGCAGCACATATGAAGAAAAAATATATTTTTTCCCCTAATAATGGAGACCTTCTATACACACTCAAGACAAAGCTTTAAAATCTTAGGGCATGATTGGTCTTCCTCTAATCACAGCTGATGAAACAGTCTTTCAACCAGAGGGTAGCCTATGGGAGGAATTATTGCCCGGTAGAGTCTCATTGAGACTTCGCTTGTGTTAGTATCATGTTGTGTCTCTCCCAACACAGGGACTGGACTCCAGACCCCAGCAGAGAAGGAACAGGAGCCTGCATTTCAGATGATTCAGCTCATGATCTCACTCCCCTTTAACCTTAAAAGAAAATAGGCAACTTTCGCACCATCTATCACTAAATGGCAGAGTTGATTCATACTTTTGAAACCAACATGCTATTACTATTGTCTGACCTTTCTAGGTTTCCTAAGACAAAATTCTACTCATATCACCACCCTGTAAACATTAGCAACACTCAAAAGCACCACAAAACCTTTGTTCTTCACATTGAAATGGAGATGCCTCAGTTAAATTTACCATTTGTTTTTTTTTCCCCTTTTTGTTCATTATTTTTTTCCAATTCCAGTTAACGTACAGCATCGTGTTATTTCAGGTGTACAATATAGTAATCGAGCGATTCTATACGTTACTCAGTGCTCATCACGAGACGTGGACTCTGCTGTTTTTTTTTTCAATAAAAAAGACTGTGTTTCACAAAACTGACACTCATATTTAAAACTGAAAATATAAAGCAAAAGGTTCTGTAGTTCAAATTTGAATTTTACTCAGTGTTAAACGTCCCAATTTCTCCCCCTTAAAAATGAACATTTAGATATTTTAAACATTGCCGATCCTAACGGTGCATAAGGAAGGGGAATAGTGATGTAAAAAACAGCCGGAAACTAGATGTAGGATACTTGTTTCTCTGGTGCAGTTTTGTTTTGTTTTGTTTTAGACTTCCTTTGGGGAATGAGTAATACAATTTCCTGCATTTTGAGTTTGATCGAATTTGAGAGAAATTCATTCCAACTCAGAGGATTTGGACTTTCAATTTAGATTTTGTTTCATGATTGAGCACCTGCTGTCTACCAGACAACGTCTTCGGTGCTTTCACATACGTGAACTTCGTTTGCTGAACTTACTCTTGTTGAATAATGTGAAGGTCAGCAAAGTGTGGTCATGTTATGCAAAAAAAATCAAAAGTGTTTTATATACTGATTCTATATACTAAGGTCATCATAGCTTACTTACGGTCATAGCTTAGATACGTTGAAGGCCCATACAGGGAAAAAGCTTTCTAATTCATTTTTCTCTTAAAATATAAAACAAAAAAATGGAAAATGCAGGACAGCCCATCCTATTTTATTTTTTATTTATTTAAAAAGTTTTTATCTTATTTTTTTAACCCATCCTGTTTTAGATGGGACACAAATATATTTCTGTTGTACGATAGTGACTTCAAATTTGAAGTAGAAATATCTTTTCCGGGGAAAAAAAAAAAATCACAAACCAAACTTTCAAAATCACCGAGTCTGGAAAGTAGATTATGAAGCGAATCTCTGTGTGGCTGCTTCACAGACTCGGGCAGCGTTCAAACGCCACCTAGTGACCGACACCGGCATGGCAGCTGGGTTACAATTTCTCCAGGCTTGGGCAAAAAAAATGGTCCATGATTTTGCTTTTTTGAAACAATGATAGGAAATTATTGTTTTCCAGGCAATGAGATACTGTCTAAATTACATAAACAAACTGTGTGTGATATTTCCACAAGTAGAGAATCTTTTCCCCTGACCCAGTTTAAGTGATATTTTCCCAAAGAAGCTAAGAAAAGGAAGGCACAGGTTTTCTCCTCTTCGCCTAGATTTTTTTTTTTTTTGTGACCCAGATTATATCCTTGTTTCAAGTGATTCAGAGTTAGTTGAGAAATATTATATTGAGCCATGGCTTCATTTATGTAAAATCCAGGTACATTCTAGGAGTTTCCCTTCATTCTTTCCTACACAGCATCCCAGTGCCTTTTCCTAACAGATCAGACCAATCTAGTAGCCGTGACTTATCACAGATACAGGGACAACTGTCTATTCACATGCACTCATACGTTGGTGCAGGGAAGATCCCGGTGGCTTGGATAACAGGTGCGTACAGCAATCTGAACCCTGACCCCTTTGTCATGAAGTGTAAAGTGTGTATTTGTTTTGCTGAGACTCTTGGAAGAGAAAAGGGACTAGCAGAGAGAGCTAACATTCACGGAATAGTCAGCATGGGCCAGGGGCCGTGCAGAGTATGGGCAGATGAACTATCTCCTTCTAGGCCCTTACTGAACACCCATGAGATCATCATCTCCTGCTCTCTGAAAACATCTGTTGACTATTTCTAGACTCTGGGTTAAAAAGTCCAAGACCACGATGGTATGAAGGCAGAAAGGACAGAGTTACAGTGGGCAGACTAACCGGGGAAGGGATTCTGTCGTTGTTCTAGATGTGAAAATTGCCATCTCAACATTTAGCAAAAAAACAAAAAAAACCAAAAAACCAAAACAAAAACAAAAAAAACAAACAAACAAAAAGCCCCCCACTCTATCAAATGAAAGGTCTGACAAAAATAGCTTCAAAATTGGGAACACGGGAGTCGCAGAAAACACTGCTCAAAAAACTAAATCTTAAATAAGCTAATTAACTAAAGTTAAGGGTTTTGCATTATCTGTGGATTTTGATGATCCGGGATTTACCGTGGAGAATCAGGTAGCAGGTGCAACAGAAGATGGGATTGGGGGCCGTTGAGAAATGCAGCAGGAATTCCTGCTGAGCCCGGCCAGCACACCTCAGGTCCGAGCGAGCGTCCCCACGGGCGCGTTGAAGGCTGGGTCCGCTTCCGGACCTACCAGTCCAGCTTCAGGTCTGCCTTGCTCCACACATATTTGCCTCCTCGCTTTAGAAACATCTTTTCATCAAATCCACTGAATTTTATAGCTTCTTCTACGCCAACATCCAGGATGGACTTGGAAGGATCCTTCCGCCCGTTCCTACAATTCAGGAAGCGCATCTAGAAAATTCATGACAGAAAGGGGATATGTTTGTATAACTGATTCCTTGAAACTCAGTGTTGGGGGGTTAATCTAGAATGATGTTTGACCCTGGAGCCATTTCAACAAATATTTAGCGACAGCTGTTGGCCAGACACTACACTGAGGATGCCGACCTCCTAGAACACTCTTTCTCTGCTCGAAGAGCTCACTTTAACCAACAGAAACACATTAGATCGACGAGCACATGATAAACCAAATTACATGCCTGCCACATGTCCCTCCATGGGTCGGGGGGGAGGTAATGTTTAGAAATTGTAATGTGGCGGGGGGGGACCTGCGTGGCTCAGTTGATTAAGCGTTCAGACTCTTGGTTTGAGCTTAGGTCGTGATCTCATGGTTGAGCCCCTTTGGGCTCTATACTGGCAGCACAGAGCCTGCTTGGGATTCTTTCTCTCCTTCTCCTCTCTCCCTGCCCCTCCGCCACTCGTGCTGTCTCTTTCTCTCTCAAAATAAAAGAATAAACTTAGAAAATTTTAGAAAGTGTTAACTGGAGAGAACGGTGTTATAAATGCACAGAAGCATGACACAGGCTGGCACGTAGGTGATACTACTGGAATGAAAACTGTTCACGCACAGATATACAGGTGTAAAGTTAATAAACTTTTCTTTTGAGAAAGGGAGAGAGTGGGATAAGAAAGGAAATACCAAGGCGGGCAGGCACCAGACCGAAGAGTCTTACGCGCCCTGTCAGGCGGGAATGAGGTCTTCACCCTTCTTAACCCCTACCATGTCACTAAGCACCTTACAGTAACATTTGATGATTCAGAATGTTCTTAAATTACCAAAAGCAAATTTGGGTTCCACTATGTTTGCGCCAACTGTGTGGAGGCCAGAGAGTTTGTAAAGGAGCATTGGTCAAAACCCCCTGCCTATCATGATACTCCAAAAACAGAAATAAATCCTGTTTGACTTTTCCTCTCTACCTTGAACCCTCTAACACTGGACATTAGCATCACTGCCTTTCTCCTCATGCCCCACAAAGAGAGTTTGTCCTACTGACAGACCATGAAATGGCTGTGAAGCATCATTGGTTAATTTGAAAATAATAAAATACCAAAAGTCAAAATGAGCATTTCTCATTTTGACAAGTTCCATGCATACGTTAAAACCATTGTTCTTGTTGGAGTTCATTTCTTTTTTTTAATGCTTTTTTAAATTTACTTTTGAGAGAGAGAGACAGAGACAGATGGACCAACAGAGCGTGAGCAGGGGAGGACAGAGAGAGAAGAAGGAGACACAGAACCAGAAGCAGGCTCCAGGGTCGGAGCTGTCGGCACAGAGCCCGACGCAGGACTCGAACTCATGAACCTCGAGATCATGACCTGAGCTAAAGTTGGGGGCTCAACCGACTGAGCCACCCAGGCGCCCGTGGAGCTCGCTCATGTCTTAGAAACAGGTCTTTGAATGGACTTGTTTGTCCTGTACTAGAAATATTGGCAATGGTTTATGAATCTAGCAAAAAAACTAACAATTTGTTTTTCCAATTTGAGAAGGGGAATATTTTCCTTCTTCTCTGGAAGGCAGAGCGGGTAGCAATCGTGTCAGTGACTTCTGGAGAGGAGCCGCAGGTAACCTCTTCTCACCAAAGCCAAGATTGATCAGGGGACAAGCTGGCAACATCAGAGGTATTAAAGGTGATGTGAGGTGTGATAGGACCTTCCTCCAAAGTACCCTGGGTGCCCTGGTGCTGGAGAACCCCCAACCCAAGACAACAGGACACGCAGTGCCACTTTCTATGTGACACCCGAGGACCCATCGCCCCACGGGAGAAAGCCTGAGCCTTTAAATTTGATAATTCATGAGAAATACTCACATACTCATCCAGAATAAGGTAGGAATCTTTCATCTGCAAAAGAGAAATTAAATACAAATTTAGTTTCAAGTATATTTTTCAGTATGTGCGCTCAACGGTCAGTCTTGCGGGGTTTGCGTGTTTGTGTTTTATTGCTTCCGGAGTCTGCATTTCTTATACCACGTGAGTGTCTTTGGCTCTGCCCCTTACGAGGGGATCCATCAGTCAGCGCCCCTGTCCCCACCTAACATACATCTCCAGGGGCATCTCTCACAGTTTTCAGCAGGCTGGATTCTCCGCCCCAGGCTGAAAGGGTCAAAGGACACTGTGAGAGCTTCTCTGAGGATGAAATCCCCAGGCTAATTTCTCCATTTTCTCAAGCTGTGGGAGAGCCTTGTTTTTTATTCAGTATTCCCAATGGCTATTTTTCCACCATGCATGGAATTTCCCCCATTTTCAATGGAATTAAGCTTTAAGGCTATGAACCTGGGAGTCTGCCTGCAGATTTTAATGTTACCTTCATTACCCGTAACTAGTTTTACCTTCTGTAGGTATATGAAAGGTGTCCCTATTCTCCTAGAGGAAGCTATACCTACCCTCTCGAGGCTGCGTCCTTGGAACAGCTCCCACCGCGGGAACGGTGGGCGGACACAGAGTCCAAGGACAGAGGCAGGGGAATGGAACCTGAAGGTCTTTCAGAGGCCCCACAGCTGGCAGGTGCAGGGCTGGTGGTGGGTTCCAGCCCAAGGCTGCACCCTCCCATCCTCCTCGCTGAGCCCTCTAAAGGAACAGTGTGTGGATCCCTTGAGCTAGAGAGGTCCCTGCTTGGAACCATCTCAAGATGTGACCATGTCTGCTCCATTATACCTTCTGGTTAGACTCGGGCACCAAGCAGGACACCTCTTTGTGGCGGTCTAAGAATCCTTCAAATTCTTCATCGCTGATGATGAATTGTTGCGCTTCTCTCAAGGCGTCTTCTCCAGAATTCTCCCCCTCGATGAGGAGGCACTGGAAGACCTGGAAGGCGAGGAGGGTGTTTGCTTAGCAGAGTGACCCCCCCCACCCCCCCATGTTTACGCCCCAAACCTCACCTCCCCAGACCCAGCTTTGTGTCCTCTATGCAAGGAAGAGTCCTTCTACTAAAGAACATTCTAGAAAGACATCGCTCTGGGTCCCTCAACGTCAGAAAGTCCAAACGGTCTGAAAATATAAAACTGGTCGAGTTTATGTTTGAGCCAGTCTGACAATCTAACCTTTTCAGACCACCAACTAAGTGATGTTCACCGCAGGGAATGAGAGTATGAAGAAAATAGACAAATCATTTGCGATCCACCAAGAAAGAAGTATTTTCGAAATGTTGTCTCTGCTGACTTCAAACATCCCTTATTAAGCCCTCTACACTACGTGGGGCTTTTTTCAGTAGATATACAAGGATAGTTTCCAAAGCCATTAATAGTCTTTTAACATTCTTTTAAGTAAGTAAAGTGTGTGTGTGTGTGTGTGTGTGTGTGAATTATTATTCCATCATAAGGAATACCATCCTCTGAGAAGGAAAAAACTGTCCCAGGGGCCTGAGCAAGGTGGTAATAGGTGACAGCTGATCAAACACAGACCCAGCACAGAGCCCAGGGCTATAGGGTTTTCATGTAAGGGAGGGGGGATTACGCACAGCATGTAATTAACATTTTAGCCAGCTTAGAATTAATTTTGAAGCGCCCTACACGTTGCCTTCTTTGCTCACTCTATTCCCACCCCCTTCTTCTCTGCTCCCTAGTCCTTAAACATCCGTCCCCGCGGACCCTGGTCACACGGTAGATTTACTATTTGCTTTCCTGGCTGTCTTGCTCTGTAGCCTGGGAGCTTCCTGGGAGGGGACACCTCTCATCTTTGTCCCCGCGGCACCCATCCCCAGTCCAGGCACAGGGTGAGGAGAGAGAGGAGGTCAGAGGAGGTCTCCACACAGGTGGGAATCCCAAGCCGGCTTGAATAGCAGGTGCAGTAAAGACACGCAGGGACTTTGGCCGTGGTGACTTTGGTTCTGGAATCCACCAACTTCAGTGGGGCTTGAGAAGCAAAACAGGGGGAAGGGTGGTGGGATTAGATGGGGAAAGTCAGGTGCAGCCTGCTCTGTTGTCCCCAGAGCAAGCCTGAAGGTGATGGCAGACCCCCTGTGGAAGAACACTGAGGTTTCTTCCCTCCCACGCTCGTTCAGTGCTGGAGTACTGAGCACGGGGCCTCCCGTGGAGGACGCGGCCTCGGGGGTCCAGGCACCTGACCCGGGGGTGCTGCGTTTCATCAGTTTGCGGCCTGCAGACGCCAGTGATCTGATGCCAAAACTGCTTTTCAAACAGACAGTAGCTAATCTGCTCCCTCCAGAAAACTCAGGATTTTGAAAAGGCGATTCTGGAGTGACTCAGCACGCAGAAGCCACAAGAGGAGTTACAAGATGGGAGGAAAGAAGCTATGGGATCAGGAAGCTACAAGGAGCTCCTGGCAAACCAAAGCCAGGTATGTATGTATGTATACACACACATACAGGGAGAGAGAGAGAAGCTAAAAAGAGAATAATGAGGAAGCCAGTAGTGGAACAGAGTTAGGGGACCAGGGAAAAGGAGAGTATCTGGCAGGTGGTTCTAGAAGGAAAGTCTAAGAGCCTTGAGCCTCGCCTCTGGTCCTCGTCCATCCCCCTTGCTGGACCACAGCCTTCGTTCCTGCCCCTGTCTCTCTTTCTTGGCTTTTCTCTAATTCCTTCGGGGCATGGGACGCAGGTCCGAGAAGCTGCGTTACAAACAGTTCCCTGAGTTGAGTCTGAGGAACAGCCAGGGGTAGGAAAGTTTAATTTGTCATTATCTGCAAGTGTCTGTCCATGGTGGGTGCTGTAATTACACCTTGAATTGGAACGTTAGACTTTTAGTAGCTGATGGAGGGATCGAAAGCACGAATCTCGGTGAATGAACTTTGCTGCAGCTTGGGGATGGTGTGGCCCCAATATCTACTAATAATTCAGTGAATAATATATTAACAGAATTTATGAAGAACGTATATCCATTTATGAATAAGCCAAGAGTTTTAAGAAGAAATCCAGTATTACTATATTTAATAAATAAATATCGGTTAGGTGTTGGATGGATATATGCTTTATTTTTTTAATGTTTATTTTGAGAGAGAATGAGAGAGCGAGGGAGGGGCAAAGAGAGAGGGAGAGAGAGAATCCCAGGCAGGCTCCGTGTTGCAGGCTCCATGTGCGCGGGGCTCACGCTCATGGACTTTGAGATCATGACCTGAGCCGAAGTCCGACGCTTAACCGACTGAGCCACCCAGACGCCCCACCTATGGATGTATTTTTTTAGAACACCTGCAAGCATTGACTATATCTTTTGACCTTTATCCTCCCAATACTCCAGAAGGGAATCAGTTCCAGTTTTTAGAAGGGGGAATTGAGGCAAAGACAGCGTAAGCAGCCTAAAGTTTAACAGGGCTGGAAGAAAGCATGAGGACCCGGTTTCCTGGCTGCCTCCTTCAGTCCAGAGTTCTCTCTAACCTTGACATTTCGGGTTTCATTGACACAAGCGTCTCCCAAACATTTTCTGAGTTATACTCGGCAGAAGTGACACGGGACACGGTACTTACTTTCCAGCGGACCGGGTTCAGGGCTTTAATCTGCTCCCTCATATCCTCATCCACGTTGAATCGATTAATGACAGAATTTATTTTGAAGGCCACTCTATAATCTCTACACCATGTCCTCAGTTTTTGAAGATTCTCCACGTGGTTCTTCTTTCCTTGGCCACGACCAATGAGGACGTTGACTTGTTCATCAAAGCTGTCACAGGAGATGGCAAGGATGTCCAAATATTCACCTGACGGAAAACAGGCATCTTTAAGCTTTTCCATTCAAGGACCAAACCTGTTAGGCCATTTATAGGTTTTTATGATAAAACGTGTCTTGTTTGTATCTAATTTTTCATTTTTTTTTTCAACTTTATTTTATTTGGGACACCAGCGTGGCTCAGTCAGGTAAACCTCTGACTCTTGATTTCAGCTCAGGTCATGATCTCATGGGTTATGAGTTTGAGCCCTGCAATGGGCTCCGTGCTGACAGTGTGGAACCTACTTGGGATTCTCTCTCTCCCTCTCTCTCTCTCTTTCTGCCTCTTCCCCCACTTGCTCTCTCTCTCTCTCAAAATGAATTAAAAAACGTTTAAAAAGTAAAGTTTATTTTATTTATTTTGAGACAGAGAGAATGTGTGAATAGGGAAGTAGCAGGGAGAGAGGGAGAGAGAGAGAAACCCCAGCAGGCTATGCACTGTCAGTGCAGAGCCTGATGTGGGACTTGATCCCACGAACCGTGAGATCATGACCTGAGCCTGAAATCAAGAGTCAGATGCTAAAGCTGAACTTAAACTTACACTGAGCCACCCAGGTGCCCGAAGCCCAGACATTTTCTACCACCCACTCATTCTCTGGCCACATCTTCACAGTGGACTAGGTTTGAGCTTTCCTCATTATTAGGACTTTGCAGAATTGGTTGCAAAGTTGATTCTTAAAACGACTCCCTAATTATAGAAACTAGGGGTTCCAAAACTCTGTAAGCAACTATTGTCTGGTTTTCTAATCAGGGAGCAATTTGAAGTACGATGTGGGGGCTAATACATTATCCACACGTACGCCCTCCGCCTCTCAATACAAACTGGGAACTGATGTGATTGGCCGTCCTGAACTCTGAACCATGAGTTGTGATCTATTAATTAATGTAGCTCCCTCGTAGGATAACTAATCTTTAGTTTCTCCAAGGACAAGCACTTGTCTTTTACTTCTTTTGGAGGCTCAAAGTATCTAGCACAAACTGGAACCAGAGTGGGCAACTGACCATTATTTAAAACAACTCAAAATGGGGCATCGGGGTGGCTCAGTCGCTTAAGCACCTGGCTCTGGGTTTCGGCTCAGGTCATGATGTCATGGTTGGTGGGTTCAAGCCCTGTGTTGGGCTCTGCTCTGTCAGTGCGGAGCCTGCTTGGGATTCTCCCTCTCTCTCTGCCCCTCCCCCTTCTCGTGCTATCTTTATCTCTCTCAAAATAAATAAACTTAAAAAAAATAAAGCGACTCAAAGTGTTCTAAAAATTGATCTCAGGTAAATTCCCAATGGCTTACGATATTGAAGAAAGGAATGAACTGAGAGAGTGGTCTCTAACCCAAACAAAATCAAAGTTTCAAACTAGAATAGAGACCTGTCAGTTATGTTATATTAGTTGATTTCCAAGTCAGCTGAGCATCTCTGTCCATTAGTTTATTCTGTCGCTTCTCCAGCTTCTGCTCTACGATCATGATGCCCCCTCCTCCTGCTCTCGGATTTTCTTGTCGGAGCCCTTGTGAAGAGAGTTAGCAACGCAGACCTGTGTGCTCAGTCCTTGTAAGTCTCCAGGAAAGCCTGGAACCTTGATGGAGTCTTGGCCGATCCCTGCATATATGGATGCCAGCATGTTCTCTGGGTCTCCCTTTGATGATGTATGTATGTTTAGGGCACGTTCTATCAGCTTGTCAAGAGTTGTTGGGATCGTTATGCAAGATTCATGACGTACCTGGTTTCCTTGCTGGGAGTCCCGAGTTTCAGTTGCCGTGGGTGATTGCCCAACAGTGCGAGCCTAAGTGACCAGCCCTGCATAAAAGTCTCAGGCCCTAAGACTCCAATGAGCATTCCTCGGCAAAAATTTTCCAAACACGTCCCTGAAGTGCTCGGCTAGAGAGAAAGCACGTCTTGTTCGCCCTGGAGGGGAAGGACCCGGGAGCCTGCGTCTGGCCTCTCTGGATCCCAGGGATGCACATCTTCTGCTGTTTCCCAGCTGTGTCCTTGGCTCTCAGGAACCTTGGCTGCGGCGATAAGTGGCCGCTGAGTCTCGTGAGTGCTCCCAGAAAACTACCAGACTCAGCAGCTCCCTCTGTCCACTCAAGCTCACAGACTTACCCTTGGTCCTTTAAACCAGAGGTGGAAAATTGAGGCTTACAGACCACCCGGTGAGACACAAACGCTGCCGTGGCTGGTCCTCGTGGCATCTCAAAATATTTCAAATTTCCGTGCAAATATTGAATTGGGAGATTTCACAGAGCATGTGGATTTCTGAAGTATCTTTAAGAGTTTCGGGACGTGGCGACACGTACCCCAAACCCCATGTAGGACAAACGCCCGTGGAAGCCCGTGGCCAGCTGGCGGTCAGCTTGTCCACCATGAACAGGACTTGGTGCTTCCCATCCTTCACAGCCTCGCGCTCTCTTACTGCTCCCCGCGGCTGGAGTGGGCTTTTCTCATGCGCTTCCAGCTCCACTAACTCACCCTGCCTCTCCCACACAGGCATCTGGGCTTCTGACCCTGGAGTGCAGCGAGCCCGCGGGGCCTGCTCCCCGTACCATGATGGCGCCCACGTAGAGCCAGTGTTGGAGGGAGGACGTTACGCAGGGACACTGCCGGTAAGCCCGACCGATCATCCTCTGCTCACACGGTTCCCTAAGCCTCTGTTACCTCTCTGAATCTGGTTCCCAAAGTTTCCTTTGATGCTTCTGACCCTGATTCACTAAGCGGCTCCCTTCACAGTCTTCCCGGATTCGCCTTTCCCGGACACTTTCGAATCTTGTCTTCCTGCTTACCTTCATCCCATGGGCTACACCACCCACATCCACCACCCCCTCCCTCCCACCACACCCGTGTCTTCACCATCTCCGGAGGGGTATTTGGTCAGAGCCTTTCTGTGAGCAGCCTCAACAGAGAATAAATGCGGCCATGTTTTTGGTGGCAGCCAAGCTCACATCGCTCGTCCAAAGGGAGGACGGAACACTGTGTTCTAAGAGTTAGGTAACTGTCTCCTGAAATGATAATAGTAATAACAGCTAATATTTTCCGGGGCTCTCTAAGTTCCAGCCTCTGCTCTGGGGATGTTACATCTATGGAAACTCAGCTGTGAGGGACCTCCAGGGTCTTAGGATCCATGGTTTGCCATCCCGGCTGCGGAGCAGAGCCCCTCGGAGCCCTTCAGGTTGGTCTGTCCACACGCCATGACGTTCTGACATAACGAGTCTGGGGTTCAGTCCCCCACGCAGATAGTCTATTTAAATGTCTTCAGCAGCCGCATACGTAGCCAAAGGAGGGGAAGACAGTTTTGGCCCAAATGCTTCATCGATGAGACTAACAGAATGACAGTTCCTTCGAGATTTAACAATTGAGCATTAGCAGCAAGCCAAAAGGGTTTATTCTGCAGAATGGTGTCACTGTCCCCTGCTAGTGGCTAAGCTAAAGCCACAGGAGCTGATACCTGCTCACTTGGGACGCACAGAAGAGCCGCGGTTGCTAATATTTTCTGTTATCTGTCTTGCCATGCTTGTTTACGTGGAGCCCTGCGGCATGAAAACCTCTAACTGCGTGCCGGCCTTGTAAAGATATTAGAGTTTGGTTTCTCCTCCCTGCCCGACCCTCCCCGCCCCCCAGCCTAAGGCCCCGGGATGGAAGGACCCAGAACCAACACTCGCAGCGGCCACGACTCCCGCGTGACGCCAGGCAGCTCACCGTAAGTCCTGAACCAGCGCTCCCGGATCAGGCTCCCGTTGCTGACGATGCTCACGCTGGGCAGCCTTAGCTTCTCCTTGCAGAACCTCACCAGCTGGCCCAGGTACTCGCCCCGGTCATGAATGAATGGCTCTCCCCCCGAAAAGTTGATCTTCTCCATCCCTGTGAGAGGCCCGACGTGAATCTTTTATTCCCCGCCCCCCACTGCAAAACACCCCTTGTTGCTTTAACCGCAAAAGGGCTGTTTTCTCAAGGTAACGAAAACAAAATGATTATCTCCCCCCTCACCCCCAACCCTCACTCACAACCCTTGGGCTGTGTCTCTGGAGTCCCATTTTCTCAGGACCTTATCTTTTTAGTCTTTCTATCAAAATTCTAATTTTGGAAATCCCAGTGTCCACTCTCCAGACTCTTCCATATCCTGACTGTTTTCTCAGCATTGTGTTACTTCTTACGCATAATAATTTTCCTCTCATCTCTCTGGGATGATCAGTTACAGATTTTTTTTTTTTTTTGACGTTTTCCTCTATTCTCTTTGCTGATTTGTTTTGGCATCTGCCTTTTACTTTGGGGTTTCTATTTGTCCCTTCTAATTTGAGTGAAGCATAAAAGAGCGGAATGGAATTTCTGTGATTCAGGAAGAAACCACGCAGATGGAGGGTTTCGGTACAGAGTGACAGAGCGAGAAATGGACTTATTCACTGGATAATGCCCCACATGCCGGTAGCCTTGGTGTTTCCTCTGGGCCATTTTGTTCTCCTGGAGAAGGACTCTTAATCTCCTGCTATGCCTGACCACCTGGCTGCCTGTACCCTGGAAAGTACCAGCAGGCAGGTTCTCAAACCCCGGCCTTCAGTGAGGGCTCTCCTCCAGGCCCCACCTGGGGTCCCTGAGCACAGCCCTGGTGGTCCAGATCCCTCAGAAGAGAAGCCGCCTGTCATCTGCAGGACTTGAAGACGGACCTCGTCTGACTGTGGTGGGGAGAGCCGTGGAAGGGCCTTTGGCCTATTTCCTCCCTCCCGCCTCGCCCCCTACTTGTGGATCAACGCTGTGCTTCTGCATGGTAACATGCTTCCCGTCTTTGAAATGTCCTACATTCCATGCAGCAGGCTGGTGAGCCTCTTACAGCCACTGCCCTGCAGACACATGCTGAAGGCGTCCAAGAGCCATAAACCATTTAGGACAACAACCTGTGGATTTCCTTGTGGGCTTATGCCCCTTCTTTCAATGATGCTATTGGAACTTTAGTGGCATGAAGGAAAGATTGGAAGGACGCTCAGTAGAAAGTCCAGAAGGTCTAAATACATTTAGAATTTCTGCAGCGATATTGTCATAGTGGAGTTCATTTCAATTCAGTTCAGTTCAACTCGGTTGACTGCGTCTCTACCAGATGCTCTGTTCCACTGGCAATATCAGAGCGGGACGTTTCCAGAATGAACCCTTAATCGGTAAGCAACTAGCTCCACTAAGTGAAGTTTGAAACGCACACTTCATGGGACTCTAAGGGTGCTGATAGCTCAGGCAGCGGACAGCCTGCTCGGATTAGAGACAGAAGCCACCACACTTCAGAGCATGCGAAGGAAAGGGCACAGGGTGACAGGCTGCTGAAACAGAAGCGTGTGTGGGCATCAGAGGTCAAAGGAGCAAGCATGAGACCAGTAAGAGCAGCAAACAGACCGAGTCATTGGAATAAAATAATTAGAAGCACCAAATAAACTAATGGAGAAGGCTGGGGATCTTATTAAGGGCCAAACAGCACAATCTGCCACAAAATTCCCTAAGAATTTTATTTGTTAACATCCATTCAACAAACTTGGTCCCTACCAAGTATGGAATACCGTGCCTGGCCATTTCATTTGTGCAAACTCACTGTAGCCCAGCTTTTAAAATGCTGTCCGGACCCGGTTTTGAGGTCCTGGCTGAAGGCTGGTCATCCTTAAATTCATCCTTAAACTCATTCAGCAAGGAAGGAATCATTACCCTGGTTTTTATCATTTATTTATTGTTTAAAGTTTATTTTTGAGAGAGAGCGAGCGAGCCTGTGCGCACACACGCGAGTCGGGGAGGGGAGGGGCAGGGAGAGGGAGCGAGGGAGTCCCAAGCAGGCTCCGCACTGTGAGCGCAGAGCCCGATGTGGGGCTCAAACTCACCAAAAGCAGGATCATGACCTGAGCTGAAATCAAGAGTTGGGTGCTTAACCAACTGGGCCACCCAGGCGCCCCATCCTGGTTTTTAGTTGCAGGGTTGAAGCCCAGAAAGGTTCACGAATTATTCACGAATACAAGGCTAGGGGGAAAAAAAATGCTGAGATGGATGTCCAAGCTCCAAAGCCTTCCATTTTGTCAGCGGGGCGGCCCTTCACCCCCGCTTGCCCAAGCTAGTCCCCCCTGATGGCAGACCAGATGTCACCTGTTATTCTTTTCAACACCGCCTTTCACGCTCCGGTGGGCCTACGACTGGACAGTGAGAAGTTCTATCCCCTCACTGGTGAGGGCTAGGAGCCTGGCTGTGTGGTGGTGGTTATATTTAATAAAAACATCATTATTCCCTAAAGTGTGGTTAAATAGGGTCAGACAAACTAGAGAGCGTGAGACAGTGTGTTGGCCAGTGGCGTGGCCCTTGATGAGTTTGAGGGTAAGACGTAGAGGGGATAAAAGGAAGAGAGAGCTGAGGGAACGGGACGTGGATGCGTAGTTAAGATCTTAGATGAGGAACAATGACTTCACAATGGTCTTAACATACAAGGAGTGATCCTATTACAGCCCAGATCACTACTGACCCCCAGAGTGGCTACCTTCTATTCTGTGTTCTCCGTGTAAAAGCGAGAGGAGTCAGTAATATTCTGGAGAAGCGTCTTCAGCCGGAGTAGTACATTTTAATTGCAAATATAATTTGCATTTAGATTTAAATTTTTAATCACCACCAAAGTAGATTTTTCCTATTTTAGCCAGAAATCTCACCTACAGGGCACATAACCTATACTACACCTTAATCATTTTAAGTAATTTTGGTTTTATTTACTTAAAACTGAGAGGTCACCATATAAGGGTTTTAATTATAACTAAAGTAGTTTAGGCCCTGTTAAGAAACATCTGAGCATTTGCTTATCTGTGCCTCGTAGCTACTTTTTGAGGTTGGCATATGAGTTACCTTTACACACATTTTAAAGATTAGTTAACTTACATTCAGAAAAGTTAAATGTCTTGGCAAGTCACATAAGTGCTTCAGCAAGAGCTCAAGTCCTGCCTTGTGAGTCAAGAGTCTGAGCTCTTTCCAGGATGCCAGACCTCCCTTCATTTGCTCCAAAAACATTTATTACCCCCCTATTACATTCTAGATATTCTCCTAGGCACAAAAATACACAGAGTGCTAACATTCAGCCTTGGAACTCAAACCCTTTGGGGACCCAGATATTAAAAATAAAACAGCCTGGGGTGCCTGGGTGGCTCAGCCGGTTAAGCGTCTGACTTCAGCCCAGGTCACGGTCTCATGGTTCGTGAGTTCGAGCCCCGTGTCAGGCTCTGTGCTGACAGCGTGGAGCCTGGAGCCCGCTTCGGATTCTGTGTCTCCCTCTCTCTCTGCCTCTCCCCAGCTCATGCTCTGTCTCTCTCTCAAAAATAAATATTAAAAAATGAAAACAATGGAACGAAACATAACTTCAAAAGTGCTATAGTACACGTTCATAGCAGGCACCGTGGGATCACAAATAGGGAGACAGGGCATTCCAGAAAGAGAGGATAGCGTGATCACAGGCCTGATTGATGCAGGTGGTGAAGGAAAATAAGTATAACATGATGTGCCTGGAGCGTAGGGCACTGAGGGCATTGGGGTGAAGGACGTTGAGGTCCCCGTGGGGGCAGCAGAGATGATTATAAGAATCACAGCAATCCAGCTGAGAAACGGGGAGACCCTGAGCCAGACCCCACGGGAACAGTGAGGTGGGACTCCACTTGGCTGAACGGCTGTGGATGGTTGAGCAAACACCACGGGCAACAAAAGAAATCAGATCATTCCATTACGTAAAGTACAAAATCAGGCAGAAGCCATCTGTCTGTTAGAAGACCAGCTCGGGGTTACCCTTGTGGGGGGCGGGACAGTGATGGAAGGGAGACGTTTCCGGGCGCTGGGACGCTGTCTGAGTGCTGTTTATCTGGGCGTGGTTATTTTGTGCGGTTCACTCAGCTATGCCCTCAGGACGGGCGCGACTTTGTGTATGTGTGTTATACTTCTATAAAAAAGCAAAACAAAAAGACAACACAACCGTTAAGCAAGTTGAGAAAAAGTTGGCAAGGTTGCTGAAGTTGCCAGCTTCCCAGGAGCTCTGGGAAAGACAGGAAGACCAGTTGAGCAGGAAGGACGGATGTGGAGGGGAAGATGCTGCCTCGGAATCACGTACATGCCGAGCCTTCTCTGAGATGCTTCCGCTAGCGTGGAGAAGCTCAGTAAGCAAGTCTTGAGATCAAAATCATTGTCGTATTTGTACTGCAAATAGTTTCTTTACAGTTTCACGGGAGAGGGGCGCCTGGGTTGGTCAGTCGGTTAAGCGCCCGACTTCGGCTCAGGTCATGAACTCACGGTTCGTGAGTTCGAGCCCTGCATCGGGCTCTGTGCTGACAGCTCGGAGCCTGGAGCCCGCTTCAGATTCTGTGTCTCCCTCTCTCTCTGCCACTCCCCCACTTGCACTCTGTTTCTCCCTGTCTCTCAAAAATAAACAAATGTAAAAAAAAAAATTTAAAGTTTCATGGGAGGAACACATACCTAATCCAAAGTAAGAGACTGGAACATTGTAGTTCCCAAATCAGAGTTTTTGTCTTTGTTTTCAACTTTCCTCATTGATTCTTTCTGGAAACCCCCCACTGCATTGGTGCTTTGGACAAACTCAGAAAGTAGAACGGTCCCAACCTGCTTCTTGGCAAACGGGGGGGGGGGGGGGGGGGGCACTGGGAGCCCGGCAGGTGCAGGGACCTCTGCTCACCTGGAGACTATAGGAGGGATGGGTTTGCAGTCCCTCCGGGCTGCGCCAGCCGACTGGTTCCGAAGGCCCAGGCATCCCCCCCAAATTCACCCCAGGCATCCCCCCCAAATTCACCCCAATTCTCCCTCGCGGGACGGACGCTCTGCAGGCCCTCTGCCACCTGTGCGCATCCCCAAGCCCGTGGCCGCGCCCTGACTTCCTCCCGGGACCGGGGACTCACCGGCTTCCTGCAGCAGCCGCAGCCCTCGCTTGGCCTCGTCCAGGGGCAGCACGAAGGACGTCTTGGCCGTGTGGAAGCAGAAGCCACACTTGTAGTTGCACTGGCGGGTGAAATGGTAGTTGACGCTGGTGGGGGTGGTGGGCTGGTCCGGGCCCTGCCCGCCGTCCCCTCTGCTCTCCTGCGGTTCTCCCCGGCCCAGCTGCGGTGGCCGGGTGCTCTGGCCCCCTGGCAGCCAGAGTGTGGCCCTGAGCCAGAGGACCCAGGGGACCAGGCTGCTCCAGAGGGAGCGCAGGGGCTTCCTGAAAGCGCTCAGCAGCTTTCCAGCAAAAGCCACGGGCACCAGCATCCACATGGTGGCCAGGCTCCCTGAGGCTGTCCTGCTGCCTGGAGACAGGGCTTATATGTGCCAGGAGCAACCTGTCACATGGGTTGGACGGACACACTTCTGACTAACTCTCTCGGCTGAGCTCAAGTTTCGATTTTCCTGTTTGTGAAAATGAAAGTTGGGACGGGGCCAAGGCTGAAGGCTGGGGATCGGGGCCAGCATCCGCCCGGCCTGGCCTCACCTTTCACCTGTCTTGGGGGCCGGCACGGGCCTTCTCACTGGATACAGACCAGGACCTCGCTCTCTGTCCGTCTGGCCCTCCGTCCAGCAGGGAGCCGCAGCCCGGACAGAGATGCCGCGGCTCTCCGGGCGGCACGTTCCTCACACATGACGCTTCCTGCCGCCGCCCCCAGCGAGAGTCTGGTGTGAAAGCCACAGAATGAATGGCACAGGCGGCCCTTGCAGGGCCCGTGGGCCTCGGCGCCCCTTGCAGACCGCGGTCCAAATGCACAGGCACATAATAACACCCAACTTCCAGCTACCTTTAGCTGTCCATCTCCACCTTCTGTATTTTCCCAGCGTTGAAACTCAGACACTTACACTCTCCTGCATTTTATTGGATTGATTGATTGATTGATTTAAAGTTTTTTTATTTTTAGTAATCTCTGCAACCAACATCAGCCTCGAACCCACGACCCCAAGATCAAGAGGTGCTCGCTCCTCGGACCGAGCCAGCCAGGCACACCATTTCTATTTTACTTTTTTTTTTTAAATATCTACTTATTTTTGTGAGAGAGAGAGTGGGGGGAGGAGCAGAGAGAGAGGGAGACACAGAACCCGAGGCAGGCTCCAAGCTCTGAGCTGTCAGCACAGAGCCCGACGTGGGGCTTGAACTTGCCAACTGTGAAGTCATGACCTGAGCCCAAACCACACGCTTAACCAACTGAGCCACCCGGGCACCCTATTTCTATTCTACATTCAAAAGACCATAGGAAAATCAGAAGCTTTGCTAAGGTGCTTGTTCATTGTCAAGAATTACAGCAGTTTCTTCCTGATTTTCAGTTTCCTAGAGAGCATTGTCGAATTTTGTGCTGAACCTTTTTTTTGCTTTAGCTGTCTTTAATCAGAATTGTCTTAAAAATTCTTTTTAACGTTTACTTTTGAGGCAGAGAGAGACAGAGCATGAACGGGGGAGGGTCAGAGAGAGGGAGACACAGAATCGGAAGCAGGCTCCAAGCTGTCATCACAGACCCTGACACGGGGCTCGAACTCAGGGACTGTGGTTCGAGCAGGTGGTCTTAAGTTTTCCTGAAGCTCATGGAAAGTTGGGACAGTCCTGGTAGGTAAGCTTCTGGAGCCACAAACCGAGCTCGTCACGTACTGGCTATGGGGCTTTGGTAAGTTACTTTATTTCTCCGGATCTCCGTTACCTCATCTGTAGGTCCAGATAGCTCATGCAGCTTTTTTTGTGTGTGAAGACTGAAAGTTCTCATTTCTGTGGATCACAAACTGGGACGGTGTGTGGAAAGTGGCACGTGTTCACTTGGGGTTGGCTATTGTTATTCTGGCGGTGTTGTGTTCTAAATAGAAACAAAGATGACTTTCACTTTACTTGGAAAGAAAACTGAAAGCAAATTCAGCAAAATAGCAAGCCTGTGTGTAATGATTTCTGGTTACACACTAATGGATATAACGCAAGTGCTTGAAATCTTAGCCCAAAGCATTGTAAAATCTCACTGTCGTATGGCTCAATCAGGAAATACTTTTTTTTTTTTCCCCCTGGATCACATGTGTTTGAAGAAATGAAAACCGAATCGGTTTACATTTCAAATTGAGTATCAGGTAAGGCACAGAGGGTGACCATGTAGGCTTTTCAAACCAGACCTTTTAAGGTCTGAATCCTAATTCGGCCAAGAGTGTTTCATTTGGCGTAAATTTCTTCATCTGCCTGATCTTGTTAACACATCTGGAAATAGGGATGTTAATGTCACACTCACACAGGGCATTTTAAGGATTAAAATGTATATTCAGCACCGAGAGTAGTGCTTGCGTGATAAATTAACCATATCTAGCATACCATATAGCATTGTGCACCAGGCCCCGGCCTACACTTTGCATGCACTTACTTATTTTACAGCTGGAGAAGCTCACGCCACACAGGGAGTGTTTGAACTGGGATGTAACACCTGGAAACCTGCTCCATGGTAATTATCAGCACGTTAGTTTAGTTTTTCCTAAATCTGTTCTAAGCAGGCCAGTTTCTTTTATGCATTCATTTGTCCCTTCCTTCCTTCCTTCCTTCCTTCCTTCCTTCCTTCCTTCCTTCCTTCCTCCAGGCATTCTCTCTTTCCTTCCTTTCTTCTTTGCTTCAACAAGTGTTTATTGAGAGCCTCCTACTTTTCAGAGAAAAACTTGGTAAATGTGAATAAAACACAAATCAGATAAATAAGCCCAAGTTTTTCCAGCAGAGAACTCACAAAAGTCAAGTCCTTATGGTATTCCTTGAACATATGTCCTATTCCTTCCAACCTGTCTTTTCCCACCCATTTAAGAGTAAGGTTCAGGAGCGGTAGACTTTCTTATTCAAAGTCAGGGCCTGCACAAGCCAGGGAGGGATTTCTTCCTCCAACTGCTCAAGATGGGGGTGGGCTGGGGGAAGCACAAGGCAGCCCCGTTTTGGCTCTCTAGTGGGAGTCGGCCATCTCTAAAGGCATCCACACGCAACTGGAAAACAGTCAAATGTCATCGTCATTTTTCTGTAGCCAGGGACATTTTTTCCTAAACACCTGAACATCTGTAACATACTCCATGCTCCCTGATGTGTACCGTTTCCTGCAGGGATGTCCCAACAGCGGCTGCAACACATCAGCCGAACGTAGAATCCGTTCAGTTATTTGCAGACATCCTAACATCTCTGTGGTAAGTCTTTTTCTCACGCATACCATACGTCAGGACTACCCATCAACTACTATGCATCCCATACATCAAAAGGTACACAATTTGTAAATGCATGGCACGATGACTCTCTGGTAGACTGAACACATGTATGTAATGAGCATCTTGATCAAGAAATAGAAATTTGCCAAGAAGCTTCCAAGACCTTCCCTCAGGCCCTGAACCCTACCTCTGCCCCAAAGATAACCCTGTCCTGTTTTCTAGAAACCGTACTCTAGGTTAAAGTTAAAGTTCATGTGGATGGAATCACAACATGCCTGCTTTCTGTCAGGACTTTCTCACTCAATGCTGTTTGTAGACTTATCCATGTTGCTGTGTTTAGCAGTAGATTGTTCATTTTCCTAGCTAGCATTTATTGATGCTATTGTTTGAATATACCACAATTCATTTAATTATTATTTAAAAAAATTTTTTTTATCATTTATTTATTATTGAGACAGAGAGAGAGCATGAACGGGGGAGGGGCAGAGAGTGAGGGATTCACAGAATCGGAAGCAGGCTCCAGGCCCTGAGCCATCAGCCCAGAGCCCGACGCGGGGCTCGAACTTACAGGCCGCGAGATCGTGACCTGAGCTGAAGTCGGACGCTTAACCGACTGAGCCACCCAGGCGCCCCTTATTTTATTATGATGAACGTTTGGAATATTTTGCTATCACACCATGAATATTCTTGTATATGCCTTTTGGTCAACATATACATGTGCGTTTATGTTGGGTATATACCCAGGAATGGACTCATTGCCTCATGTGGTGTATGTGTGCTCCCCTTGAGCACATATCTGCAAAGAGCTTTCCGGAGCGCTTGAACCAGTTTATATTCCCACCAGAATACTGTAAGAGTTCTAGCTGCTCCACATCTTCCTTCTCATTTGGCACTTTCACTGTAAGATTTTTGTTTTGTCTGGTTTAATTTGGCCACCCAGTGGATATGTAATGGTAGCTCTTTTTTAGTTTCCAGTTCTCTGATGACTAGTGATATTAAGCACCTTTATATATGTGTATCAGCCATCTCTTTTGTAAAGTGCCTGTTCGCGTCCCTTGCCCACTTTTGTATTGGACTTCCTGCATTCCACCCTCCCCTCCCCCCACAGTGGACTTTCTGTATTTTTAGTACAGATTTTTAGAAATTCATTGTTTATCATGAACTTTCTTGGTTACACACATTGGACATATCTTTAACTCTTGGGCTTTCTTGTTCACTCATTTACTAGTTGAAACTTAATTGATTTAATTTTATTAATTTGCAGAGCTGTGGTTTCATGTATCCGTGTATTTAAGGAAATGAAATGGTCTATTAAAGTGCTTCAAAATAAGATATTGTTCCTTGAAATTTTTACTTAGCTGTCTTGTGTGTGGGTATCGGCTAAAAGGATTCATACGACTCAGGAGCAGGTTATACTCCCTGTTAGGGTTTATTCCAGGGAAGGGATGCAGAGTGAAAACAGGAAGAAGATGAAAACTCAGACTGGGTCTGGAGAGGTCTGCACAGGCTTCTGAGCCCTTGGCCTGAGTTGCTCAGGACGGACTTTCTCTCAAGCAGTGCACTACAGGGACAAGTACAAATTAGTTGGTCAGGGAAGCCTGCTTGAGTCTCAGAGTCTGGGTTTATGTGGAGGGTTAGACGTGTAGGTGCATTCACCTGTGACTGGCCATGGTCACCAAATCTAAGAAACCCAACGGTGAATGAGGCGCCCATCACCAACCTTGGTGTGTGCAGAACAGTGCTGACAGGCCGATGTGGCATTGCTCCGGTATAGACACAGAATCATCAATGATTGGTAGAAAGAACCTTTTGAAGGGCACGTTTCTAGGGTTTGGCCAGGATCGATCGTGGCTCCGGTCTCCCCTGGAGAGATGCTCTGAGTGAGTTGTGTTGGCTCTTTCTTCATGGGATGGCACATAAGCTCTATTAGTGAGAAAATCAACTCCACAATACAATAGAATATTTTTCAGATTGGAAGCTCACAAATTCATCCAAAAGAACTTTATGAAAGAGAAATAGAAGGTTTATGGACTAGAGGGTTTACCTGTTCCTTAATAAAGCAGTTACTTACTAAATGTGTCTACTTTGGGGTCCTTCATTACCTTCTTTCCCAGGGTTTAGATTATAGAACCATCACTCCTTCCCGGATCTATTTTGTCAATTCTTAGTTTCCAACTTCACCGTTTATTTTGTGACATTCAGACGTATTGATGTAGAATTGTATGTAATATTCTCTGTTTTTGGAGGCCTTCACAATCTGTGGCTTTTTCCTTTCTTGGATACCTATTGTGCGGATTGCATTTTCTTTCTTTTTCTCCATTTGAATAGTCTACCTAGAAGTATATCTACTTCAGCAGGTTTTCCAAAACCAATCTCCTTTCCAAAATAAATATTAGTGTTTTCATTTATTATTTATTAATTACTGCATTTATATTTATTAATTCTTCCTTTCTGCTCCCTGCGCCTCCCATGAACAGAGGGGCCAGGATAGCTTTAGTTTTCCCATTTAATACTCCAAGTGTTGAAAACTATGACTTAAAAAAATTTTTTTTCTAAATGTTTATTTATTTTTGACAGAGAGAGAGAGAGACAGAGACAGAGACAGAGAGACACAGAGAGAGACAGAGCACGAATGGGGGAGGGGCAGAGAGAGGGAGACACAGACTCGGAAGCAGGCTCCAGGCTCCGGGCTGTCAGCACAGAGCCGGATGTGGGGCTCCAACTCATGCACTGTGAGATCATGACCTGGGCCAAAGTTGGAGGCTTAACTGACTGAGCCACCCAGGCACCCCAAAAAATATGACTTTTTTAAATGAATGAAGCTGTGTTATCCACTCACCGAAAGACTTCACTGAAGGATCTTTCCAGCTCCCAGCTTCTCTGCTCTCCACCCACAAGGGTAGTTTGTTCCATCAAAACATCCACTTAAGTTGGGACCATCAGATTCTCTGTACAGGAATTTGAAACCGGAGCTCAAAAATCTGACAGATTTTTTTTTTCCCTTTATGAGTGAAACTATTCTATCTTCGATTGTCAACAGATATGAAGGTTGACTGAGCACGGGGGGGGGGGGGGGGGGTGCAAGGTCTTTAATTTCACTGTCTTCTTGGTGGGGGGAGGTAGGTGAAACGGAGAGGAAAACAAAGAAAGGACAGAGGCAGTGGGGAAGGGGCGCGCAAAAAGGGTCAAGAGAGGCTCATGGGAGGACGCAATATGGGTGTTTTCTTCTTCGGTCTCCCATGTGCTGATTATACACGTGAAAACACCTCTGCCCGCTAAGTGCCCCAAAGTCAGATTGCTCACAGAGAGTAAGAATGATCCTGTTCTCGAAGAGCTGAACTGCCCCTGGTCTATTAGCCCATAGTTCAACCTCAGGTCTAAAAGTTCCTGCTTGTCAACAAGTTGTATTCCTTTCGGGATTACACATGCACCTGCGCTGAATCCAAATTGCTTAAATCGTAAAGTTTATTTGCTCTCCGTTCAGCTAATGTTTTCCACCTTTAGCTCAGTTGTGAATTTTTGACTCTTCCCCATAGGATTTTGGTTTTCAGTCGGCCTGACCATCATCGTCCAAGATATCCTCAGCTAAGCAGTGAGCACACAACGATACGTCCAAACAGGCGTGTAAAAGCTGCCGCACAAGGACAGCGATACCGTCGACGGCGGACTTCTGGCCGATACAGCTGCTACCACCACCGACTGGGACCGAATGCGGGCCTTTGGTTTGGCCCACGCGCACATCGGGAGACACCCGGGTTTGAAGGTCAGCAAAAGGAGAGGGGTAAGTCCCAGAAGAGGGAAAAGTGCTCCTCGTTTGGGCAGTCGGAGCAGCTGCTAGGACTTGGGTGGGAGTGAGGGCCAAAGAGCCGGTCAGCGGGGAGGTTGAGCCAGCGGCCTGTGGGTAAGGAGTCTGCACTGAAGGGCCAGTGAGGGTGGGGAGCAGCGAAGAGTCCCGATCTCTCTCTCTCCCTCTCTAACGCGCGCGCGCGCACACACACGCGCGCACACACACCCCACCCGGGACGTAAACAACAGCGGAGGCATCGGCAGTGCAGGGCCTGGGGCCCCCGCCCCCTCCCCGCCCCCAGCGCCGTGCCCCGGGCACCCTCAG